TTTGGGGTTTCGGGGTTTAGGGGTTTAGGGGTTTAGGGGTAACTAACCCCCCCAAACCCTAATCCCGAAATGCCCTCCACCGTACACCTTACTGCACCCCAGTTGGTGGCGAAGGTAGAAGCATTCACTCCATTGAGGGAGATTTCTGGCGTTGCAGCGGCGTTTATGTACGTGTCGCTTGGCTTGAAACCAATGTTTGCGATTTGTGGTTTAGGGTTAGGTGAGCATAAGCCATACATAAACACCTTGCTCATGAATCCCCTAACGCTGAACACCTAAGTGGGTTTAGGGGATTCATGAACTAGGTTTATGGTTTCAAGGCTTCAGGCTCAGAGTCTGTTCAAAGCTTACAGAGCGTAGAGGTATGGTAGGCCTTGTAGCATTTACAGGGTTTTTCAAGCTTTATAGGCTTGTAGGGTTTACAAGATTTTCAGGGCATATGGTCATTGTTGAGAGGCTTGCAGGGCTGTATATGCTATGTGCTTTGAGGTTTGGGGGTAGACTTGAGGTTTCAGATACGTTTTCAACCGGATGTACATAGGTGGATAAATTACTGTGAAGTCTAAACCGAACAAGTCCCAAGCTCGCAAATCCATCCTGAACTTGCAAAGGGTCAGATCGGATGGCAGCGCGTTTATGCGTGTGACTTTACGATTGGGTGTGAAGCTGTTTGTTGTCCGAGCTTGTCCGCAGAAGCTTGAGCACGTGCCGAAGCCACGGTCGAGTCATCCCATGCACTGCACTGCTCACTGCGAGGTCTGGGTGCCCCTTGACACAGTTTAGGGTTCAGCATCTCTGATCCAAGCATTCACCAAGGGTGTTTGGCATCACCCCACCCACCTAGAATCCCTTTCATTTGGCAACCTTATCTACCATTTGAATTCTTACTGCCTTAAGTCCCCTGAACCCTAAGTCCTAAATCCTGAAAGCTCCAGAGAGGCCCCCTGAATCCTAAATCCCACCATTAGACTGTGACTGAGGTGCCCCTGACCTTTGCCGATATGGGTAGACTGAACACTCATTTGCATGGCCTTCTGGTTCGAGGATTGAGCGTGTTAAAAGACCAACAAAAAAAACAAAGAGACAGAGGGAAAGAGAGTCATATCACAGGTTTCAAGCAAAAGTAGGACCGACAGGTCCTACGCGAGAACAAAAGATAGCTCTCCGGAGAGGTTGCGACGTTAGGGCCAAACAAAAAAGTCAAAAAACTGCGAGGTACATCGTTATCACAGTCTTCGCTGTCCTCAACGTGGTGACTGGTGCGTCCCGGCATGAAGGGGAACGAGGATGAGCAAGAAGGAGCTCGCATGAAAAATCCTTATAAACCCGAAACCCTAAACCCATTTCGCCCGTACCCCCTTTGAGCTTGCAAGCGCCGTGCATCGGAGAGCAGTGAGAATCTTCCTGCGTTGTCATACTGGAGGATCATGATGTCTCGGACGGTTGTGGAGTTGTGTGGCTTGGGCAGGATTCTGTGCCAAAAACGAACCCTACATTACGTAATATATATATATATTTATACATACATACATACATACATATCCTATACCTTTCAAACCTGCTACGTGAAAAACCAGCCTGTACTTTATGTCAGATATCATCGGACTATGAGGGTACGATCCTGTCTTCAAGCTCACTTACGGAGGCTTTCCTGGAATTCTTAAGTTCCGGATACTCCCGGAGACGTCAGAAATTTTGAGCAGTGCATGCGCAACTGCGCGCGAACCCACGGTGCAATAGTTTAAACCCTGCATTTGTTGCAGAGCCCTTCCGGGCCCTTCCTTTCTTGTCTAGTTTGTGCGCACTGGAAAACACACAGAAACACTGACATACGAAGCTGCATGCCAAGTGCAGCCTAGGCAGATCCCATGGGAGTTCTACGCCCACAATGGCCATCAACCCAAACTTTTGTAGTTTGGTTTCTCGGTTCTTAGTTCCATTATTGCGCTTCGAAGCGCGTGAAGCCCTCAGCCTAAGCCCGAAGCCCCCTGTCTGCGACCAGGTCTTCTGCAACACGGCCATCGAAAATGCAAAGGCTGACAAGGACTCGGGCTGACGTACCTGGTAACGAGCAGGGCTTTCAGACTTAGGGTTGAAGGTTTAGTCCAGAGGGAGCTCCCGAAATGGCTTTCCAAGGAGGGTTCACTTGCAGCTGGGGCAATTGGACTCGAAACTGTACGCACACACCGCCACTGTAAACCGTGGCGGCTGTTGCGCTGGTAGGGTTTCAGTTTTTTACGGAAGTAGGGTTTAGGTGATTTCGTTACTGGGATCGCAGAACTCGAGAACTGCCAAGCAGTCGCAGTCTTCGGGCGGCTTACCAGAACAGGTTAGGTCGAACAGTACTTTAAGTAGGGAAATGGGCATGCAGAGGATGGCAGGGAAGTACACCCACCCCATCTAGGTAGGGCTGGGTCTTCGGGCAGAGGCCCACACCTTCAGAAGAGCAGCAGACCCTAAACTCTAAACACTCTAAACACTCTAAACCCCTAAACTAGGATGCCCAGTAGTACCCTTATTCCCTTTTTGGGGGGGGTTTAGGTTCCCTTATAGACCCCTTTAAGCAAGAAAGGGCACCCTTTTTAAGCCCCAAGCGAACTTGTACCGGGACCATCCTGGGGGTACAGAGTTTGGGGTAGGACACTGAACCCTGAGCCCTGTAAACCTTACGCAAACCCTCGGAACTCTCTGTAAACCCTAAAAAGGGTTCCCTTACAAACCCCTTTAAGCAAAAAAAAGGGCACCCTAAACACCTTATGTAAACACTACAAGCTTCAACCCTAAAGCCCATAAAGCCTTTCAACCCTAAACCCATGGTTCAAGTGCGGTTTAGGGTTTAGGGTTTAGGGTTTAGGGTTTAGGGTTTAGGGTTTAGGGTTTAGGGTTTAGGGTTTAGGGTTTAGGGTTCGAGAGCCAGGCACCTCCGCTCACCCTTCTGAGTTGAACTTCATAGCAGGATGAGGGGTTTAAGGGTATATGACCTTTCTGCGATTGGGCTACTGCGTAGCCATACAAGGTGTGTATGTATATATATATATATATACATATTGATAGATACAGAGCTGTATAAATAAATACATAGATAAGCATATACAAGAAACATATATATATATATAGATAGATATATACAGATATGGATATGCCCATGTTGTGGCGTTTCCTGATGTCATCCGGAGGACATTGCCGTCATGAAGCAAATGCAAAAGCACCGCACGCAAGTGGAAGCTTGGCAAGACCGGTGGCCCTACACCCCTCTTTAAGATACCCAAACCCTAAACCCTAAACCCTAAACCCTAAGCCCATTTTTCAGATACGTAAGGACGCCGAAATGCAAGGACAGGACACTTCCAGAAAACCCTAGGTCCTAAGCCCCCCCGCCCCCCCCTCCCCGCCATAAGATTTCTTTGCGAAGGTGAATTCCTTGAATGGACCCCCTTCTACCCACCTGTTTAGGGTTTTAGGGCTTGTTGCTTTAAAGTCTCGGGGTTGCGGGTTTAGGGTTTATTGGACCTGAATGGCTAAGGCCTGGGAGCTTTTGAACCCCCAGGGGGTTCCGAGGCCAGTCGTTTTCGAGGCTTCCCAAAACCCGTGAAACCCAAAACCTACCCTAAAACCCTACACCCCACAAAGTTTGAAACCCAAAAGCCCTAGACCCTAAAATCTGAAAACGCCGCAACCCTGGCGCTCCAGGGCTTTTGTCGTTCTAGGGTTTTAGGGGATTGGGGTTGAGAGTGTGCTGCGATGTGGCGCAGAAGCTGTGATTAGGACTAGCTTCGAAAGCTTCGCGAAATGCGAAGAGCAGCTCTGGCCGGGCCATCTCGCACTTTATTCTCACCACCACGCGGCCTCAGGCGGCAAAACCACCCAAACCTATTCCTTTAGCTTTAGGGTTCAGGCCGAAACTCAAGTCAATTGCCAGGCAAAACACCTCGTCTTCCTGTGATTGAAGGGTTCCTTCACAAAGCCCTGATCTAGAGTCTGTGGGGGTTACACAGGATTCGGAAAAAAAAAAAAAAAAAACAGTGGCAGATTCACTAGCGCAAGTATATGCAGATCTTAGCAGAAACGGCCACGATTTTCCGGTCTTGGGGCTTTCCAAGCGCCTTGAGGGTCCAGGACGAAGGCATCCGCCTCCAGAACCATCGATGTCGAGGGGCGTCCAAAGCCTTGAGTTTGGTGCTCAGGGTTGCGAGGGTTTGCGTTTTGGGGGGGGGGGGGGGGGGGCTCGGTATTTGGGATTGAGGACAAACTGAAGCAAGCGGAAATTAGGGGTACCTTATTGGGATCCTTTTTTTCAGGGAGGACTACACTCGGGGTCCCTTATTTTCGTAAACCCCCAGATTCGACCCAGGCCACCTAGCTCCCCGATTTCCTAAACCCTAAACCCGAAACCCTAAACCCTAAACCCTAAACCCTAAACCCTACACCCTACACCCTACACCCTAGACCCTAAACCTTAAACTGAAGCCGAGGAATCCCTGCGTACCGTGTTTAACGATATTGACGTGAACCAGTCGAAGCTGGTAAACCTCCACGAGTTGAAGGCAAAAGCCCGGAGGGCTTAAGGGGTTTAGGGTTTAGGGTTTAGGGTTTAGGGTTTAGGGTTTAGGGTTTAGGGTTTAGGGTTAGGGCATGCCTTAGTAGCCAAGCTACGCCATAGGAGTGGCTACTCTAGTATCATCCCTAAGCCATAAACCCAATCACGAATGCAGGTCTCGCCGCAGCATGTGCGTTTTGGTCCGGATAGGGGGTGGGGGGGGGTGGGGGCGGGGTGGGGGGGGGGAGTCTGAGAGTCTCGCGGATCTGGGGTTTAGGGTTCAAGGATTAGGGTTTTTGTTGGGGGCTTTTGGGTTTTTTGGGATTTTGGGGTTTTTGGGGTTTTGGGGTGTTGGGGTGTTGGGGTTTTGGGGTTTTGGGGTTTTGGGGTTTGGGGGTTTGGGGGTTTCGAGCCTATGGTGGCCACAGCAGGGAGTTCGCGGGCTTTCTTGGCTCAGGCAGCGATGGAGGAGCAGAAGCTGTCCAGCTTCATGGCCGCTGCACCCAGTTGTGTTGAGGGTTTTAGGGTTTAGGGTTTAGGGTTTAGAGTTTAGGGTTTAGGGTTTAGGGTTTGGGGGGGCCTGCCCAGGGCGCGAGGGATTGTTCAGTTTTGGGGTGTGACGGTAAGGCATTTATCGTAGCACTGGGAAATAGGGAGCTTTGACCCCTCTTAAGATATGTACCTTAAATAGGGCGGATACAAGGGTTCCCTATGAAGAACTAGGCCTAGGCCTTCTTAGATTCTTGCATTGTTTTGGTGGACATAGATATATGTACCTTACGAGCTATTGAGTCTATAAATCGGATGCCCTTCTGGGGTACCAAGAATCAGAATCCTACCTCTCAGCAGTGCTAGGTGCAAGCTACAGCAGTAGGGCTCGTCTTCTTCACAGCTCCAGTTGCTGCAAGCTGTGTTCTCTTCATTAACTTATGTAGGTCTCTTGAGGGTTTGAGCATGGGAGGGACTAAGGGTTACAGGCGTTTCAGGACATGGCCAACCCTTAAAGTCTCCGGCTGAGGATTTTTGGGGCTGTCTTGGTGTTGTTTCGAGGGTGTCAGGGTCTAAGAGTACTTGGCTTGATGAGTTTGAAGTTTAGTTTCTTGGTCTGATGCATTCCCCAAAACGCCCCATCCCCAAGCCCTAACGACTGCAAAGGGCATAGTGTGTAAGTCCAGTGCCCGGAGGGTTCGCTTGTAGCGCAGCTAGGCACCCGTAAACCTCGAGTGGGGTGTTTGGGTGAAAGGTACCCTAAACTCGAAAAACTAAGTACAAAAGTAAGAAGCACTAAACCCTAAAACATGTTCTCAGGGACCTCTCTGGTTACCAGCCGGCCAGGAATCCATGGACATCTCTACGAAAGATATTTGGACGCTTTTCATGCAGCCTGCCCTGTCTTAGCTGCCTTCCTTGCGAAAAAAGGGCTCAGGGCTCAGGGCTTTTAAGTTTAGGTCTTCTCTCTCTTCCCTTCAGGTTTCAGAGGATCTTGTTTGAAGGCCCACCCTGGTAAAGTTGCATGTTTTTTGGTATCTTCTTGGCCATTGGACTACCAGTGGGGCTGTCAGGGAACTCCAAAACCGACCACATCAGCTCCAGAGTCGGGCTTAGGGTCTCGGAGGACTTAGGGCCGACTTCCCTGCAGGTTCTCTGAGGAGTTTAGGGCTTTGTAGATTGGGATTCAGGGTGGTTGTGTTGCGGTTCAGGGAGGCCATTTGGAGGTAAGGAGTGGGCACTGGGTTCGTGAACTGGGATCGTAGGACGCGCTTCCAAGCCAAGTAGCAGAACATCCGCTAACCTCTTTTCAACCATGGACCTTGAACCTAAGCCCTACAAGCCCTGAACCCGAGACCCGTGCCTCTAGTCCCTCGGTCGTCAAGGCTCATCGACGCCGATGAAAGCGGGGAAATCTCCATCGACGAGTTTGTTTCAGGCTCCAAGCCCTAAACCCAGCCAACACCCAAACTCTTCAACCCTGCCAAAGGTTCGTTGCTTGGTAGTAAAAAGCGTAGGGTATCAGCTTGGGTTTCTAAAAAAAAAACCAGACGCCAACACCAAAAGCCATTAGTTGACCTCTAAACCTTTGAGTTTTAAAGGAAAGTAGACAACAAGCCGCTTTCGGCGAGGTGCTTTCTGCTTGTCGAGTCAACAGCTTCTGTCTTCCTGGGCAGCTCAGTATGTTTCGGTCCTTTGTGGGTGCGCTAGAAGTAAGGACAGGAACACCAAATGGAACAACAGTTGAGAGAACTGGACCCCAAACCCTAACCCCGTATCTGAGCCCCTAAGCTCACAGGGGTCCTCTGTTTCTGTCGGGCCTAGAGTCGGACACTCTAAACCCTACGCCCACAAATCGGTTCCTGTTTGAGGGTGTGGGGTTTGGGATTTTAGGGGTTTCCTGCCAGGTTGCATGCAACTTCAAGGTCCGGCTAAAAGCATCCAGCTGGCCAGGTGGGCAGAGGGTTTAGGGTTTGTGGTGTTTCTATGTATTCTCTCATGCGGTGGAGGAGTGAAATATATGTAAGCACAGACATGCACACATACATACACTATACATACACACACACCCATATATATATATATATATATATATATATATATATATATACATGCACATGCGCATGCGCATGCACATGCACATGCACATATATATATATATATATATGTGTACACATGTGTGTATATGTATGAGCATGTAAACGCGTGTGTGTATATCTGTATATACACATACACTATTGGGCCTGGGGACTGGGGTTTCCCCCAAGTACGTTCGTGGCTGCCTCAAGCACCGAACCATAAACCTCTAAACCTCTAAAGCCATCCCTAAGCATATAACCCTAAACCCCTAAACCCCTAAACCCCTAAACCCCTAAACCCCTAAACCCCTAAACCCCTAAACCTTCAAGCCTGAGTCCCAAAGCCCGGTTTACGCTTTAGAGTTTGGTTGCATCCCATAAGAGGTTCCCTTAAGGAATCCCAAAGCCCAGGGGTACAACCTTACAGGCACGATCCTTGAAGATTGCACTGGGAAAGAGCTGGAGGGTTCAGGGCTTACAGTTTCAGGCTTAAGGACTTTTCACCCTTGCGCTGTCTCTCGATGAACTGGGCGTGGAAAGTTTGTGCGTTCCATCTTCCGGAAGGTTTGTCGGGAATAGAAGGGGGGCCAAGGGAAACCAGCACCTTTCCGAGCGCTCTCAACTTCCTTGTTCCCAACTCGATCAACCTCCGAATCCGCGAAGAAAACAGACTCCAAGACTTTCTTCGACTGCATAATCCCTTCCCCCTAATACTAAAACCCTCCCCCCCCCCTCCCTAATTCTGAAATTCGCCTGGGCCCGAAAAATGTTTAAAATTCGGGGGGGGGGGGGGGGTCTAAATCCTAAACCTGAATTCCGAAACCCCTAATGGCTCAACTCAAGGGCAAAGGCCCTGAACCCCTCCCCCCCTAAATCCCAAACAGGTTTAGTAATGGGCTGGGTGCCGGCAGGGCCCGGGAAAAATAATATTTAAAAAACAGGGGGGGTTTTAGTAATAGGGGGAAGCGATTATTGGGTTGCATCTTTTCTGGGGTTCGGGCTTGGCGTCCCAGGGTTGGGAGACTCTAGATACATTGCGCCTCGAATCCTGGCCAGGGCAATATGCTTCCTGGGGCTTAGGGTTTAGGGTTTGGAAGATGAACTGCTCACACTAACCTAGTTGGACCGCCCTGAGCATTTACAAGCCCGCTTGTGCCAGGGTGCGTCACGAGAACAACCTGATGCGACGTGATATCAGGTGGGCTCCAAACAACCCTACACCCTAATCCCAAAGAGCCCTACAGACATAAACCCCCACAGTACCCTCTAAGATGCCCAACAAGGCTGCTATACACCCATTAGACAACTTTGCGGGACCTTAAACCCTTCAAGTAGATGCACCAACATTGAAAACACAACCCAATGAAGGGTTCTTGTAGGCCACGCCTAAACCGTAAATCGTTCGTAGTTCTCCCATGCTGACCTAACACCCCAAACCTTCAGTACCTGGGGGTACCCTAAACTGCTTCTTTCAACCCCCCCCCCCCCCCCCCCCCCCCCCCCCACCCTACACACAGAGGTGCTGCAATGTCTTTCCGCAACCCTAGACCCTACAAACCCAAACCTTCAACCCTCAACCCGTTACCCTAAGCCCCTAAACCCCGGCAACCTAAGTCCCGAAAACCCTAAACCCTAAACGCCCCAATCCCCAACCCCCCCCCCCCCCCCCCCCCCAAAAAAAAAAAACCGGTGCCAGGAATGTCTTGGATGAAGTGAAGGCCGTCAAGAAGTCCTTGCGGTCTGCGGAGCCGAAGAGAAAGAGCAAGGCGAGTGATGAGGACGCCAATCTCGCGACCCTCTAGTTTGAGGGTTTTTCTTGAGGGTTTTTGGGGGTTTTAAGAGGGTTTAAAGAGGGAATTTATATAGAGGGGGGGGGGGGTTGAGAAGGCGGAGCGCGGAAGATTATAATAAGGGTTCATCGGCTTTCTGGGGTGTAGAGGGTTCATCTGTCTTTATCGGGTTGATCAGCTGCTTTGCTCTAGAAGCCCGAGCTTCCCAGTCCCAACACAGAACTCCGAAAGCCCCACAGCCGACTCCTCTGTCATATTACAAGCCCACACAACACAAAACCCTGTGAACCCTATAGCCTATAAAGCACTACTCCCCTGGGCCTTGAAGGTTTGTCCTTTACCTTGGGTTTGGCGGAATGTTTCGGCTCTTTCGGGCTCCCGAGTTGTTAAGACGCATGCTGAAAGCAGAGAAATCTTTCGGGTGAGAGGGTTTGAGATTTGGCAGTTGGCGTTCATGCCGGAATTCCCTAGCGCCGATTCTGGGTGTCGCAAAGTCGACCCAGGACTAGAGTGCATGAGCGGCAAGCACCGGGTGCCAGCAAAGAGTGATGCCCTAAACAGTACTTCGGGCTAATCCTTAAACCCTTAGACCCCCAAAAACGCTAAAACCGCAAGACCCTAACCGGCCCTAACCCTGCATCACGAAGCACGAGCCCCTGAACCCAGAAGCATTCGGCACTAGGTTCTGCAGTACCTCTGGGCAGGCTGTGCCCTAATTCCCCCGACTTGTTCTCACTGGCTCCGACTCTTCGTTCGTCCCTTGCGAACTCAGTTGCACATTTGTCCCTCTACAGAGAGCCTTCGTTGTAAACCCTCCTACTATCCTCTGGGCTTCGGATGCCCTGCACTTTGGACCAGCCGAGCCTGCCTTTTCTCCAAGACAATGATGGCGGGTAGCAAAAACGCCGTAGTCGTTTTGGTCGTTTCACATTCGGACAAAAGCCGGAATCCGGAATCAATCTGGGCGAGAGTTGCCGCATGGCCCTACACACCGTCTCTGTAAACCTGGATCTGAAACCCAAGCTACTTCAAAGCTGCCGCTGAGCTAAACTGAGTTCTATGACCTATACTGGCTGGGTCAAAGCAGCATGAAGCTGTGTGAAGCTCGACAACCCTGAGCCTAAACCCCAGACCCTAAACTCTAAACTTTCAACCCTAACCCTAAATAGGGAGTACTTGGGCCTTAAAGTGCTTCCTACATAAGGACTTTGAAGGTACATGGACACGTAGGGTAAACTCGACTCCGCCCGTCCACGCGAACTCTTGCGTCCCAGAGTCCCGGCTTTGGAAGGTGCGGTGCTTTTCGGAGAACCCTCTTTAACCAGACTTGCTTCCGCAGCGTGTTTGTTGCCTTCGGTTTGGGCTGAGGCTTTGATTAGGGTTCAGGGTCTGCACGTCTCGGATGAACAGCCCCCTCCTAAACCCCAGCCCCATAAAGGATGGAGAGCGCTAGATTCAAAAGAACTTGTGCACCCTGGCCGGATGCCTCGTCGTTAGGGTCTAGGGTTTAGGATTAGTAGGGTCATCACCGAACCCTCAGCTCGAACTCCCAAAGCAGTAAGTGTTGTGACTCCCCAGCCTCAGCCCTTACAGACCCTGCAAAATGGCTTACTGAGAAGGTCGTACGGCTTAGGGCATTGTGTCAAGGGCTTATAAAATTTACTGGGGGCCCTACAACTGGGAAACTGGTGGTCAGATTGCAAGGGTCCAGCATTCGGGAAGACCGCTGCGGACGGCAGGCCAGAAGAGGTGCGAATGAGTACGCCGAAAAAACCTGCAGGAACCGAAGAAAGCAGTTGGCAAGCATGATTCTCGTTACGACTCCCTGTGTAGTTGTCACTCAAAAGTCTCTAGCAAACCCTATGCCCCATACCCCTAAGGGTCCATGTACCTCATTGTCATATACTTGGGCCCCAAAGTCCTTGTTTAGGATGTACCTCAAGGCCCAAGTACTCCCTATTTAGGTAACTCTTAGGGCAGACCCTAAACCCTAAACCCTAAACCCTAAACCCTAAACCCTAAACCCTAAACCCTCTACCCTCTAAACCCTAAACCCCAAACCCTAAACCCTAAACCCTCGACTCGTATTGCCCCGACGGATTGTTCGGAGGTTCCTCGACATTTTCCTTTCTCAGAGATGCCTCCCGCCGCACCCAAAGGGCCGAAAGCAGGTGAGGTTTCGCAGGTTCCGCCGAGGCCGATCAGGTTCAGGTTTAGGGTTTTTTGGGTTTTTGGGGTTTTTTGGGTTTTTTGTTTCTTTTGGGTGTTTTGGGTTTTGGGGGTTTTCAGGGTTTTTAGGGTTTTTAGGGTTTTTAGGGTTTAGGGTTTAGGCCCTTAGCCTTTAGGCATGGGGCTTTTTTTGGGGGCTTTCGGCTTTGGCAGGCAGAACTTGTCGGGTTGAGAGGCTTTAGGGTCTGAGGTGACGCGCGGCCCGAAACCTTCCAGAAGAGATGTTTGCAAGGTTGAGTTTTTCGGGTTTAGGGTTTAGGGATGAGAGGCTCTAGAGGGTGTATACCCTAACCCGAACCTTAGTATCGTTTGAAGTCAGATCGTTGCTGTGGCCTGACGTTTCGCGACGTGCGGTTGGTTTGATCAGCTTGCAGCACGAAGGATTTTCACAGTTCTTTGGTGAGATGGCTGGTTGTGGATGTAAGATGTAGAGATTGGTGTTTCGGGTTTAGGGTCTAGCGGTTCAGGGTTTAAGGTTTAGGGTTTAGCGGTTTTGGGTTAGGGTTTAGCGGTTTGGGGTTTAGGGTTAGGACTTAGGGTTTAGCGGTTTAGGGTTTAGGGTTTCGGGTTTAGGAGGTTTGGGGAGGGGGGGGGGATGTAAGGTTCATGTCTTTTCTGTTCGCTCCTAGGCAGGTGTTCAAGCTTGCGTTGCAAGCGCCTGGCTGAACACCAGACAGCGCGGAGCCTGCGGCTTCAAAGGACAAGCTTCGCCGCCCACAGGTCACCCAGAAACCTACCACAGAGCGTAAACCCGGCACTCTGAAACCTAATTTAGGGGTCGGAATAACTGCTGATAGTATTCCCTCAGGGCCCCTTTGCAATTGCACCATAATGACCCCCAAATCCCTATTCTACTTATTCAGGCCCCTATATCAAGCTCTCCCAAGCAAGGACAGACCTTCATGCAGGCTAGAAACCATGATGTCCCTAAGCTGCCCTTAAACCCTTTGGCCCCCCGTAGCCCCCACCCGAGAAAATTGTGAAGGGCCAGGTTTTGGGCTTAAGGGCGGTTTAGGTCGTAGGGCTTAGGGTTCGCGAAAGATGCGGCTTTCACTCCAGCACTCCCGGCAGCTGCACTCACACCGTTCCCCCAGCCACCCAAATCGCGTTTGGGGTCTCGTCCGAATCTTCGTACTTTTTTACTTTCCAAAGCTTCCCTGATCCTTATACCCTAAAGCAAAATCTGCCGAGCTCCTGTCCACGCCCACATAGCACCTTCTTGAGTTCTAGTCGTGGGGCCAGCTTCGGGGGTGCTCCTGAATTTAGGGTGTAGGGTTTAAGGGTAGATAGGAGTTCTTTCTGAGTCCTGAGAAGCCTCCAGACACCCGGGCCAGACGTGACCTGTGGGTTTTGCCACACCGCAGATCCAAGCTTGGTCCCAGCACAGTACTCGCACGAACCAAGGCTAGCACCTAGCGTTCTTACCCCTGTAAAGCCTGTATCAACCCTACCTCGCACACTCTTATAAAGCCTAAAGCAGGTTAGGTATCAGGTTTGAGTTCAGGGTTGAGGGTCTTGATTTCAAGGTCTAGGACTACTCACCTTGGGCCTACGGCTCGATACCTGTGATGCTCATGGTAGCACGAGAGATCTGCACGTAGGGTTGATGTCAGGGTTCTTCTTGAAAAAATCTGACAAGTACAGGGTCATTTTGCTAACAGGTATCTTGATGAACCAGCATAGTGTGTGTTAACTCGATGCCTTCAAGGTCATAGCATTCCATGTAGGCGACAACACATGAGATACCATGTTGCAAGCTGCAAGAACGAAACTGTCGACAAGGACCATGTATTACAAGCAGAGCATGACAGACAGAAGGCCAAATGCTGATAATTGCCGCGAACATTCGGCAAACGTGATTCTTCTGGTGACTTTTGCCGTGTATGAAGTGTTGCAGCACCAAATGGCTCTGAAGAAATGAAAGTGCTTCAACATTACCCCTGCTCTGTCGGCAGGGGCCTTCGCTCAGTGGAAGATCTGTTGAACACGTGGTGTCAATGGAACACTGGAAAACAGCAGATCAATATTGAGGGTTTAGGGTTTAGGGTTTAGGGTTTAGGGTTTAGGGTCTACCCGACAAGACCAGGCGAGCTCAAGCCGCCTTCGGTCGTAGAGCCGAAGCCAAGCTACGAGTTGCCGTGGGAATGGAAGCAGGCATCACATGTTGACAGCCCTATCACTAGGATGCCCAGTAGTACCCTTATTCCCCTTTTTTGGGGGGTTTAGGTTCCCTTAAAAACCCCTTTAAGCAAGAAAGGGCACGCAGCCTAGATCAACTGTGTCACTGTGACTAGCTTGGCTTAAACTACCTTTGCTGACAGTGCTTGATTGGGTAATGATCCCCACTGAGGTTTCTTTGAATTTCAATAGTCTCCAACGTCCTAGGCGTAAAGAAGCCCTCTGTAATAAGCTTTTTTCGGTTTTACAATCCTTCAAGCGCGTAAGCCCCATGATCTCTACAGGCCCCATGAGCGCCACGGGCCCTTGTTCGGGAGGCTGCTGTTAAGAGAAGAAGCACGAAGCTCCCTCTGCACAAGAGATTTTAGGCTTCTGGGCTTGGCGCTTTGGAGCTTGGAGCTTGACATTTCAATCACTACAAATGTTACCTGAGCCTGAAACCCCTGACTCTCAAAACCCTAGTCTCAAACCCTTAAGCCCTAAACCCTCATCCCTGGAACCCTGAGGACCCAAACCCGAATCCTAAAGCCCAAACCCAAACCGCAAACCCGAAACTGCTGGAACCAGGTGAGGGTTATGGTTAACTAGAAAACTCCAGCGAGCTTGTGCTCTGCAGATCTTCTCGGAAAAAAAGTCTAATGCTTTGGAGCGCAGGCGCGAAGCCCAAAACCCTAAAGCCTTATAAACTGGCCATGAATACGACCCTTAGCCCGAAAGCCCGGAATTCCCAAACTCATCACCTTAAGCCGTAACCCCAAAAACCTAAGTCGTTCACCGCTTGTAGATCTTAGCGGTTTTGCAAAAGGCTTTCGGGCTTCGCGAACCACCCTAAACCTTAAACCCTGCCCTGAACTCAAAAATATACACCCCATGCCCAAAACCCAAAACCCCAACTCTATGCGAAACTGTAGCGCCCTCGGCCCTGATTCACTATCAAGTTCGCTCGTTCGATGCGGCTCCACCTGAATTCAGGGCTCAGGGCCTCGAGGCTTTAGAGCTTCTGCTTTGGGGCCTAGAGTGTAGAGTGTAGAGGGTGTAGGGCTTAGGGCAACCCTAAACCCCCTAAACCCCAAACCTCAAAAAGATGGCTTGTCAGGCCTTGGGTTGGGAGAGTCCTAGGTGCAGGGTTTGAGGGGTTGTGCCTTCAGGGCTTGTATACCAAGAGCATGATGCGAGTGGGGCTTATGGGGCTGAGGGCTTACGGCTGAGGGCTTAGGCTTAATGATCCTACACCCTCCCTCCTAAACCCTAACCCCTCAAACTGCTTCCTAGCCCCGAGCTCTTTGAGACTTCAATCTGTCACAGGGGATCGTGGAAGCCTGGGCGCATGCACTGAAGGCGCCGGTTGCTGGCAGGAATCTATCGGCTTTGGGTCGCTGATTGATTAGGGCTTCGGGTTTGGGGTTCAGGGTTCAGGTGGTTGGGGTTTCGGGTTTAGGGTTTAGGGTGAAGGGTTTAGAGTTTAGGGCCAATGTCAGGTTCTTACCCTGAGCCTACAGAGACAGAAGACCCCGGAGGGGTTGAAGGTCTAAGGTTTTGGGGTTTGGGGTTTGGGGCTTAGATTTGGAGTTCGGGTCCAGAGATTTAGGCCTTACCAGAAGGTCCGTTTGCACCATCTGTAACGGGTGGTTTGTTGCTACAGGGCTGGTTCAAGAGGAGCTGATGTATGGAAACCCTAAACCCTCTTTGCAGAGGGTTTGCCAACTCAGCATGCGGAGGGACGAAAGCTACTTGCTGTAGAATCTCTGTGGTTCTGTTGGCCCTTCAGAGTTTAGGGTTTGCGTTCAGGCGCATGGGGTTAGGAGGGTTTGGGGTTAGGGTTTAGGTGCTCAAAGTGGTGAGGCATAAGCGCTTGCGCACGCTCAAGTGCCGACGTGTTTGTTGCGGGTGCATTTTGGAATTCGTTCTATAGCAGCCCCCTGAACCCTTGGAACCATAGCAACTCCACAAAAGACTCAAAAAAAAAATATATATATATATATAGAGAGAGAGATAGAGAGAGATGCATCTAGAAGCAATCGTTTCCCCCCATTATGAAAAGGGGGTGCCCCCTCCCACAATAGAACTCGAAATGTGTTTTTTTTTTTTCATATTTTGGGGACTATCCAAATGCCATCTTTTGGGATAGGGTTTAGATTGGCTTGAAGGTTTTTGAGGTCCTGACCCCCCCCCCCCCCCCCCCCAATTTGGAACAGGGTTTAAAAGGCGGGGTGGGTTTCGGCTGGATTTTCCGGAAAGTGTTTTTACAATCATGGGGTGTTTAAGACAAGGGAGAAGTGATTACACAGATTTCCCCACAAGCCTACTAACCCTGTGAGCTTGATTAACAGATGTATCTATAGACCACATTCACCTGCAAACACAGAATAAATCCTCAAAAGGATCCCTTCAATACCGCACTCATGCCAATACCGCTGAAAGGCCGGTTTGCTGGCCCACCGCCAGGGACGAGGTGGCTTTGGGCATATAGGGCTTGGATTCGTGTTCTTGGTGGGGTATTCTGGTTTAGGATTCAGGGTTTAGGGTTTGGGGTTTCGGGTTTAGGGTTTAGGATTCAGGGTTTAGGGTTTTGGGATTCAGGGTTTAGGGGGTGCGGCTGAAGCTGGCCGTTTAGGGTTTCATAGAGTTTCCGAATAAAGCCGCACACAAGAATCCTAAACACTGAGTTTCCTGCCAGAGCATTAGACCCTAAACCATATGAACCCCACACGCCCTAGACCTGTTCCCCAACACCCTTCACCCCCGAAAGACTAAAGACTAAAGACCTAAACCCTAGAAGCCCTAAACCCCAAATCCTACCACTCCAAGCCCTGTGAAACCCAGTTAACCCTTGAACCCTGTCAACCAAGCCCTCAATCAACCCGATCTGTTGAAATTATTTTCCTGTCTTTTTTGGCTTGAAACCCTAAACCCCATTCAATGCTCTAAGCCCTAAGCCCTAAGCCCTGAACCCTGAACCCTGAACCCTAAACCCTAAACCCTAAACCCTAAACCCTAAACCCTAAACCCTAAACCCTAAACCCTAAACCCTGAACCCTGAACCCTGAACCCTGAACCCTGAACCCTGAACCCTGAACCCTATCATAAACCCGAACCCTGGAACCCCAGGTATGGGACCGCCAACGCAGAGCGCCAGCGGCTCCTTGGACCAAACGGGTTGGGCTTGGCTAGGGGTCCAGGGTTCCGAGTTCCGGGTTTAGGGTTTAGGGTTTAGGGTTTAGGGTTTAGGTTTTAGGGTTTAGGGTTTAGGGTTTAGGGTTTAGGGTTTATGGCTCAGGATTTTCGTGTTGGGGGTTGGATGTAGTCCTTGAACCCGGAGTCCTTGTTGGAGCTTCAATCTTTGCAGGGTGGAAGGGTTGTTCAGGCTTCAGTGGCCTTTCGGCATCTGGGTTGTAATGCGTACCCTTACAGCCTCCCAAAGCAGCAGAAGTAGCCGAAGAAGGGGATCATAAGTCGGGGGTGAATAAATGTCTAGGTACTTATCATTCAGCCCAAGGTTCTAGGGTTTGGGGTTTAGGGTTTACCGTGGCCTTCATCAGTCACAGAGGAGAGCCCCTGCTGGCCTTTAAGGTGTAGTCGACTTCCTTAGGTTTGCGGCTTAGGGTTTTTGTGCATGTGGCGAAGTAAGGAACCTAATTGAAGTTGCCAAGACAAGAAAACCATACTGCCCACACGCCCGCCGCCAACCCTCGTTGTGAACTTTGACCCTAAGTTCCCCACCCCCCCCCCACCCCCCCTCTACCAAACCGTGCCCGGCCCTGCCCTAAACCCTAAACCCTAAACCCTAAGCCCGAAACCCCAGCCCCTGAACTGTAACCCGAACCTGGGTCAGGTTTAGCCATTGCCTGGCTGGAGTGGTGCTACGCTTGGCATTGCATTGCCCAGTTCAGGGATGGGCCTTCAAGTGCTTGGGATTGGGCTTCGGGTTTGGGATTTGGGGTTTGGGTTTGGGGGTTCAGGCGTTTCGGTTTTGGGGTTTTAGGTTTGGGGTTTGGGGTTGACGCAATGCGACAAATGTGAAGCAGCTGATGCACATGTGGCCCACCATGCCTCCAGTGTGGTGATGGTGTCAGTCAATGTTGTACGATGTTCTTGGCAAAAATATTCGCCAAGCATGTGTCTCTCGCTGAGACAACAGGGTCCAGGGTTCAAAGTAGTTTGTTGTTCAGTTGCGCTCTATTGGTTCTTGTCTTGGCGTGTAAAATTGCTGTGCGGCCTCTACCACTCCGGAACGTTTATTGCTGGCAGCGACGACTTGTAGTGCCAGACACCTTCTATAGTTCATCCCTAGAACCTGGCCCTATTGTCAGCCAAAGTCTAGATGAAAGGGCAGTCACCGAGGACCTCAAGGAAGGTTCAGTGTCAAGCTCAAGGTGTTGCTGTAGGGTTTAGGGTTTAGGGTTTAGGGTCTAGGGTCTAGGGTCTAGGGTAGGGGCCGATAGCATTGCTGAGGCTGCAGTTTCCGATCAAGTCGTTCACAGCTCTCTCCATTCCAGACGCCCTCTGCTGCAAATTGGGTGTTCCGAAAACTGCCAGCTTAAACCCTACACCGTACGTAATTCGTAAGCCTCGAAGCGATGAAGTCCTACAAGCCCTGGACCCAGTCTGCCTGCGCTTGCTGTCGAACATGCTTTCGTGGAGACGTTTTTGGTACCCCAGAATTGAAGTGCAGCTTTGGGTTAGGGGTTGAGGGTTCAAAGCTTGTAACTGAATGTCGACATTGGCAGCTATAACACATTCCTAGTTGGACAATGTTTCGCTTACCTGGTTTAGGAGGGTCCCTTTTAGGCCTGTGTTTCTGAAGGTGTATCGTGCCAAACTAGATAACCTGCACCCATCGTCTCACCCTTACGCTAATTCCAGGACGCCAGGTCCACTGAACACCAAGGCCCGAAATCCCGAAATCCCTAAACCCTCAACCCCAAGCCGTAAAGTCCCCTCAGGTTCCTTGACCCATAGGCTTTCGGCGCCTTGGGCCTCCGGCCGGGGGGGGGGAGGTTAGGGTTTAGGGTTTAGGGTTTAGGGTTTAGGGTTTATGGGCCTGGGGCTAGGTGGGCAAGGCACCCTAGACATTCGGGTCATGGATTTAATTGCTGGCTGGGGGGCCTTCTGTGGACAAGTGGGGCCCAAGTTTGGCCCTGGAGTTCTCTCTGACAACACACTCTTTACAGTTTAGGGCGCATAAGGTTAGTCGACCCTCATGTACAGAATAGTATGTTCTCCTTGTCATGGTATCTTGTTCTCAGCTCCTTCACCGCACGCCAGACCAGTCACGAAGCCCGATATCCTCCGTTGAGACATCCGATTACATGTGTTTTCTGGGGGGCAGCTCATTCATGGTAGCACTGCTGGTGCTTGCCAAGGGACACTCCGTTGCATGGTTACCTTCAACCATATTTCTTTCTTCTACCAGCTTGAGTTTTTTCAGCTTTCGAAAGCGCATTGGCCCCCCTGTCCTTGAAGCACTGCAGCGGTGGTTTTGTACTGCCCGTTCCTTGCCATGAACGCTTTCCACTATCTGGACTGTGGCAACGGACTGCCAAACTCTCAATACCTGAGATCCGAACCAGAGCACTTTCGAGATTAACCGGTTCCTCATCAAACTTTTCTGGCACTGCTTTGCTCCCCAAGTGCAACAGACGGAAGGCCGATGGGCGGCAGTCCCGCGTCATTTGCCGGAGCTTTGCGGGCACTAAAGCAGAATGCACTAAGGCAGAATGGCTTTGTCGTGACAGTGTCGACACACACCTTTCAGCATATAGCCCAAGCAGTGCTCAAAATCTTCGAGCAACGTGTAGAGCAGTGGATTCCGCAGCTCCGTATGTAACTCTCCGAAGCAACTGCCTCAAATGTTCCGCTTTGCCAGCGCATTGGGTCGCTGTGAGTCAAAATCTTCGTTTATCAAGGCTCCCTTTGGGTATACCCCTCCAGTCATTGTGGGCACATGAAGCCCCAAGTGATAATGACACGGGCTGGGGAAGGGCTCTCGACCCAGAAAAGAAAACTTGCCTGTATCAGCTCGTTTGCCTACAACACGAGGCCCCAAACTAACATCTTAAACTCCAATGCCTAAAACCATAGGGGGGAAGCCCCATGGTTTTGTGGCCAAGTTCCCACGGCCCCTCCAACTTTATCAGCCCGCAATACCTTCAGGCCTAGGGTTTAGGGTCTAAGGCTTTATAGGGTTTATAGGGTTTATAGGGTTTATAGGGTTTATAGGGTTTATAGGGTTTATAGGGTTCAGGATTTCGAGTCAAATCAGGGATGCCTAAACTGGTACCTTTTGCCAGGTTAGCCGCGAGGATCTAGAGCACCTCTACCCTTTGGCCTTCGTGCCTTGGCACTACAGGGTTTCGCGTTTAGGGCTTGCAGGGTCTAAGTCCACGGAGTCTAGACCTCGTATTTGTGGTTTAGGGCTTTAGGGATGCTTCAGGTTTGGGGTATTTTGTTAAATGGATGTTTAGGGATTTGGGTTTAGCGTGCAATAGCTTGGATTTGCCTGCGGACACCGAGAAGCCTACAGACAGCACATGGTTCGAAACCGCAAGTCCTACGCATCCGTCAGATGCCTTTTTAAGCCCATGCCCCTCAGGCTCCAAGGACTCTTACTTTAAGATTTTTGGCCCCAAAGGCCTTATTATAACAGGTCTTAGAGTCATTTTGAGCCGAAGGCCCTAAGGGCATGCCCTAAAACCCTAAATCCCACCCAAGTCTCAACTTCCCCAGCGCCTATGTCGACGTGTGATTCGAGACACAGCAGTAGTGTTACACGGTTGGGCATGTTTTTGAAGTGTGGAGCGTTGGAGTTTAGGGGTTGTTTGGTAGGGTTTTGTGAATGCTGAGGATGTAGCGCTTGGGTACGTAGAAGTGTTTGTTTTATTATTGCGTTAGGGATTGGCTTATAAAGTTTTGCTTTGAGTTTGTCGGGGTCTAGACCATGACTGCTATAATGAGCGTTGCATGTGTCTAGGACGCTGCGGCCTGCACGAACCAGGTGCAGGGTTCTGGGTTCGTTTTGCTAGACATTTAGGTCCGTGCTGAGGTCATGAGCATGCTTTGGCTGGCCGTCTTTGCCTACTGTGTGGTTGCGGCTTGCGACGGCATCCATGAGGTCGGACCAAGCAGATCTGAGTAGGTCCAAAGCACCGTTAGTAAGACAGGAACGGAGGGCAATCAGCAACATCTTGTCCCAAAACACTTAAGAAGAAACCTTGTTAACACACCCTAAGCCCGAAAGCCCTTCTTTGAGAGAGTTGAAAGAGAGGGAGGGGGGGAGGGAGGGAGAGAGACAGAGAGAAACAACGTTCTGCGTGGCAACAAAGCCCCCGTCTGCAACGATCTCAGTGATGCTTATCTTGAATACTTTTGGGGTCGGGGTGGATGCCTGAGGGGACCGCAAGGGTGTCGGGTGCTTCCATGTTTCCCTCACTTACAGTTTGAATTGATGTCGGGTCCCGCGCCCCTAAGCTCGTAAGCATCTCCAGAAAACCCTACAACCCTGGAGCATACCATCAAGCCTGGCACTGGCTGGCGCAGGACTTCGGAATCTCCACATCGGTGCTGGGCTGCTGTGGCAGTCCAGGGGGTTGGGTTGGGGTCCAGGGCTTCGGGCTTAGGGCCTGGGGTGTAGGCCTTAGTGTTTCAGGGGAAGGGGGCCTCCGGAAGGCCTGAAGAAGAAGGCTTGGGATTTCAGGGGCCCTCGGGTTTTCGGAGCTCTCAAGCTTGGGATTTCAGGGGCCTTTGTTTTTTTCAGAGCTCTTAGCACACCCTTGTCCATGAACCCTGAATGCGCCGTTGACGATTTTGCTAGACAACCCTGACCTCTAAACCCGAACCGGGGCTTCTTCATCTCGAACGCAATAGTTCAGATTCTGTAAAGCCCCTCCTCAACCCGAAGCCCAAAACCCTGAACCCTAAAACCTGTCAATCCCAATCTCTCGAGACCCAAAAGTCCCTCGCACCGTGCTCCAAAGTACTCTACCTACGCCTTAAGACCCCGATCCCCTAAACCCGAGAGTCCTGTGGGCCGGGCCTTTTTTTAGCCTACATAAGCCTTTGCTCCCCTCAGGCTACACGATTGCCGCAGCGGGCACCTCGTTCCCCAACGTTTTCTCGGGGATGTGTGTGGCGAGGCTGTCCGGGGTTGAGGTTTAGGGTTTAGGGGCAAGGGTTACGGGTTTTAGAGTTTAGGGTTAAGGGTTTCGGGTCTCGTCTCAGGGTTCAGGGTTCGGGGAGGGGGGGGGGGGGGGGGTTAGGGTTCAGCCCTAATACAAATAAGCTATATACATATATATATATATATATAGAATAGGTATAGTTATTATGATATACTAGTACACGCATCGTTCCGTTTCTTTGTGTACGTTTCTGAGGGCCTTAAGAATGTTTTCAGAGAGTGTGAGTGGCTAGTGCCTGAAAAGGAGGTGGAGGGAGGGCGCCAAGCTTGTTGAGTATTGGGTGTTGGGGTTAGCTGTAGGTGCTGCATTGGGTAGTCTGTAGATAGATGGATATATATATATATATATATATATCTATCTCTCTATGTACCCCTAAGGGTCCATGTACCTAATTATGGAATACTTGGGCCTTAAAGTATTTCCTATATAAGGACTTTTTGGGTCTAAGTATATAATAAGGTACATGGACCCTTAGGGTACGTAGGTATGCATAAGTGTATTCGCCAAGAAAATGGTGCATCTGCACAAGCAAGTCTAAGTTGAAGAAGCTATTTTGGAACGCAACACATGTGACAACATGGCATTCCCCGAACATCGTTGTAAACATCTGGAAAAGACCGATATGCGACTTGCATTGATCGGTAGACACTGAGCAAGTATGTGTATACAGACGTATGCCTATGTTAGTAAGTATAGGTGTTTGCACGTATATGGTAGTTGTTCAAAATACCTGGGGTTCACAAGGCCCTGGACCCCATCAAAGGCTTAGGGTTTACGGATGGAGCATCGGTTCTTCCGGCACGGTTTACCGGTTTTGGGGTGAGGCTTGTAACACTCTATGTCACGGTGCTGGATGCTAAAGGCTCCAAAGGCACCCAGTCAAAACCCTATACACTAAAAGCCTAGACCAAACCCCCGTCACACCAGGCAAGGCAAGACCACTATGGCTGTCGCCAACGCCCTGGGTGCAAACGCAGCGAGCTCGGCCACAAGGGGTATAGGGTCCAGCGTCGGAGCTTAACGCTTCGGGTTTCGGGCTCAAGGTCGAAATTGTGTGGGTTTGTGCTATGCCACTCGGTTTGCTGGATTCACGGGCTTCATCCTAGCCCTGACGCTAAACCTGGAAGGGAGGAGCACAAAGCTCCGACTAGCAACTGAGATCCCATGCCTGAACGCTAAAGCCTATCCCTAAATTTGGGCCACCGACAACTCGCGAACCCTAAGGTTTAATGGGGTTAGGGGTTAGGCCAGGGCGGGTTTAGGGGTTACGGCCAGGGTAAGTGCCCTGAATGCTGGGCTTTCCCAAGCCAAAGCCTCCTTTAAACATCCTAAGCCCCCAAACCCTAAGCCCTGAGCCCCTAAACTCGAAATTCCGAACACTATCCCGTGGCCCAACATCAGAGTTTTCGCAAAACTTGTCCTAAGCCCGCAAGGCCCTAAACCTCCCTAAGCTGAGGTTCAGAACGTCTTCCTGGCCTTGGCCATCCCATGGGCCGTCCAGTGCTGCATCAACAGGCTCCAGAGACCCCCAAAATCCAGTGGGTGAGGCTCAGCAGGCTTCAGGGTGTAGGAAGCGCTGCACAAGTTTTTTTTAAGTCTTAACAACCCCCCCTCCCCCCTTTTGTCCCTAAAATGGTCATAAAACCTCTGCCCATCATGAAAGTCCTCAACCCTCAGACAGAATTCGCGTTGAGGGGTGTCGTTCGGAGCAGGGGTAAGGCAAGGGGTTATGAGGTTTTGAGTTTTTTGTGCCGGGGCTTAGTGCCGTTGACAGGGTTTACTTCGGGTAGGTGTTGAGAGGGTTTGGGGTTTAGGATGCAAGGGGTTGCGAGTTGAGGTGCTTGCAGGTAAAGCACATGGACCCTCATCTTCTCAGTTTAGATCACGGTTCTCCCAATGCTCTCTGGCAGAGGCATTTCCAAAACCCTGAGCCCGACTGCAAAACATCCGAACTTTCTTCTGTAGGGGACTGTTTCTGGGATTCTAGGATGCTGCTGGGCCCTTCCTCCCCCTTTTCTAGGGCTGCAAGTAAACCCTAAACCCTAAACTTGCCCCCAAACTTGCCTGCTGAACTTGTCTCCGATGAAACTCGCTTTTGGAGCCCTTATACGCGCCATTATTCCTGCAACATCCCGAGACCCGTCCGAATCCTACATACCAAAATCCCTAGAAAAGCCCGAAGACCCTAAGACCCTAAACCCGTAGCATCCCTACATCCCATAACTCCTGAAACCCTGAACCCTGAACCCTAAATCCGAAACCCTAAACCCTAAACCCTAAACTCTAAACCCTAAACCCTAAACCCTAAACCGAAGATTTCTCAAAGAAAGGGGCAGCTTCCGCATGCCCTTCACCGGCTTGGGCCCGGCAATTGTGGAGATCTACGTCGCCCGTCTGCCTCTCTTTTTGTGTTCGGTGGGCTTCAGGGGTTATTATAGGGTGTAGGATTTAGGGTTTTGGGGTTTAGGGTTATTATAGGGTTGAGGATTTAGGGTTTGGGGTTTAGGGTTACTTTCGTGTTCAGTGTCTTCAGGGGTTTATAGGGAAAAAGGTTCATAGGTTTATAGGCTTTACAGGGTTTGTAGGGTTGGTAGGGTTTGTAGGGTTTGCATAGGCTTAGTGTAGGGTTTAGGGTGTTAGGGGGTTCGGTTCGAGCGGCCGTAGCCCATTTGATGGGAGGGCGGAGTGCCAGTGAAAAGTCAGTTTAGCTTCACGTCCCACATGCTGGGTTTAGGGTTTAGGGTTTAGGGTTGAGGGTTGAGGGTTTAGGGTCAATTGCCTCGCCACCGACGGCCATGCACGCTGGTTTCCAGAATTCATATAGTGCAAAAGAACGTGCGCAACACGTTGCGAATGACGCCGCAAGTAATTCTTGAGTCTGCTCCAATTCCTACTACCTACACTGAGCATATTTGACATGGGGCAGTTCCTTGCACAGCCCCATGTTAAAGAAGACTACACGCCGTGCGTGGAAGTTTCCTTGACTTGCCTATATTCAAGTACGGACACTGTTGCTTGAACTGGCCATATATGCGGGCTTACGAAAATAGGGGAACCCCCCTCCATTTTGATCCTCAAACGGTAGGAGGATTCCCTTAGAATCAGGACCCCAATATGGGACCCCTAGTTTGGGAAACCCCCATATCTGCAAAACTAAGAGTGCTTCAGTTCAAAGCACTAGGTCGCCAAATCACAGTTGAGAGGTCTAGGGTGCCCTAATCACTCATCCCCTCCCCAAAAACCAACACACAATTCATGTGGCTTGGGGTTCAGGGTTTGCTTCAGGTTTAGCAGGACTTGATACTCATCATTAATGGCTCAAGGGTTTCTTTTGAGAAGAAAGGTAGGAAGTTGTGCTGCCTGTCATGCAAGTTCGAGGTCACACTGCTTCCAGTGGTATCTATCTTCATCTTCTGCAACGGCACGTTTCCGCGATGGTCCGGCTATCTTTTCCTGATGAGCCGTGGATGCACGTGGGCACCAGTCATACCCACATAAGTCAGTGTTGTGCTGTCCAAGAAATACTTCGTTATGAAGGCCGCTCAGACTTGGTATTGGAGATGCTACATGGTACGAACTTTCCCAATCCTGCTCGTGAAGCCCGTGAACACCACACACACAGAGGTCTATATCATCTACATATATGTGTATATCTATATATGGAGAGGCGTATCTATCTACACATAGGCGTTCCTGAAATCCTAGGGCCCTAAACTCTAGACCCCATAAAAACCCCAAACCCCTAATTGCATCTCATGGAGCTTTACGTGCAGCAGTACCTTCCAGGGCTTCGGGAGGCCGCGACTCTAATCGGTCCTGGCCCCTTAAGGCCCCGAGGACATGTGAGGAGGTAAGGTTGCTCAGGGTAGCACCCCACTAGCGCTCCGAGATTCCAAGTCCTATAATTCATGACCCACCTGTTAATCCTTCGTTTGCGGTTAGGTTTCCTGATCAACCCCGCTAAACAAAGAATGAGATCGCTGCCCAGGATTTATGCAGCCTACCTGGCTTTGGCCCTGAAGTGACCTGGTCTATTGTTCTTGGGGTTTGGGGTTTTGGGGTTGTTGGGGTGTTGGCTTTTTTGGGCTTTAGGGTTTGGGGGTTATAGGTTTGGGCGACCATGAATTTTAGGCTTGAAGCCGATTTCCAAGATCCATCTGGGTCTAGGGTGTGGAGGGTTGAACGCTGGGGCCTGCATATCAGCTGTGAAACATGAACTTTTAGCTTAGCACCAGCCCATCAACACATCCGAAGAGGCAAGCAAACTTCTTGAATTCAAAAGACCTCAGAGACACATACATGCCAGATCTCGCACGAAGATATTTATGACAACGCGATGCTGCAGGCAGAAACCCTTCGTTTGTTCTTCATCTCTTAGATTTCTCGCGCCTGTCTTTCTTCTTGGTTCATAGATTTGCTTTATGACGGGAGGGTGTATGTTTTTGCGAATCTTGTTTTAGGGGGAAGGAGTTTTTTTTGGGGTGGGGGGCATGTTCTGACCTAGCTATATAGCTGCTTTGATTGCCTGCGTCCATAACTCATCTATCTGCGACAAGTGCGTGCATTCATCCAGTGGCGCGCTGCACGTCCTCAGCTCAGAACTCTGCAGCTTTCAGAGTTTTCAAGCAATAGATACGACTACGTGTGCACTTAAAACCCCCAACTAGTTGCGCGCGTGACGACGTCTTCTACAGCTGTATGTACCGTGCAGAGCCTTGACAAACTAGGCCTGATCTAGATTAACGTAGGACCTAAAAAGTACTTCCTACCCTAGTGTACCCTAATCGCAAAACCCTTTCACCATGAAAGCTTTCCACCTTCATCTCCATATCGCAACCTTTTTTTAAAAGCCCTCGAACCTTAAGCCACAAAACCACCTAAAGCCCAATTTTGGGACATTGTACTCTGACCATTGCCCATCTCTGCACGCAACGCAAGGGTCGATCTGGTGCTTCCTAAATGCCTGAACTTGAGTTTAGGAGTTTGGGGTTTAGGGTTTAGGGCTTAGGGTTTTGCCTTAGCTCCTAAACCCTAAGCCCTGCCGGGCTTGTCAGCTTGAAGAGCTTCCCTTTTTGGGGGGTACTCAAGCCTACCCAACACTAAGACCAAAGATAGCCCCTTTCCTTCCCAGGTTGCGTGGGACCCCAGTAGGGCACAGCTGAGGCAGGACGTTACTCATTGCCCTTCGTGGCCGCTGTTTTGCCCAGAGGCCAAGTGATGATTGACCCTTAGACCTTGTAATCTCCTGTTATCCCTGAAGTGTAAAGTTTCGGATTTAGGGTTTAGCCTGAACCCTTAAAACCATAAGCCCTGAGACTGTTGGGCTCCAGGATTGATGGTTTAGGTCTTTCTAGGTTTAAGGTTGGGTTAAGGGTGGCTGATTGTAGGCTTGCGATTTTAGGATGTGCGGGGTACATAGGGCTTAAATGGTTTAGGGTTGTGACCGTCCAGATTTACTGCAGGTGAGAGAATTGTGTTCTACGGTATCAGTGAAGGATCCGGATTGAGGTAAATCTTATGAGGCGTTCAATGTTCAGGGTCAGGGGAACCCTATCCGTAACGTAGTCGTAGGATGTTCTTTTATATTGGGAACAGGAATCTCTGTTTCTGGGCACTTGACATATCTTCACAATTCAACTAACCACACTACAAATTTAGTGGACACACCGCGTTAAAGCTCATAGGATGCCAGAAACCATGCCAAGTCATTTACCCAAGTCTTCGTGGTATAAAACGAAATTGGCAGTCTCTAAAGTACCCTCCTAACCCTGCGCCCCAAAAGCATGCTAAATAGGGAACCCAGAGTAGCATTTCAAATTGGCCCCTTGGGGAAGTTTACCGGGCCATTCTTTTGTTATACGGAGCTACTTTGCAGGTGTCTGTTCTTAGTGTTGGACGTTGGGTTCATTAAAGGTTTATGGGGTTTAGATTCAGGGGAGGGTTGGAAGGATTGGTGGGCAAACATACTGAAGCCCTATTATAAGCATCATCTCTACATCGGCGATGTCTCAACTGATAGGTGTTACAGGTGATTGCGAAACTGGAATCCGGGCCAACACCCCGTTTTTTCTTGCAAAAGCCGCCCCGGCCGTGATCCCAGGACACCATGTCTTAGTCCCAAAAGGCAAGCTTGCAACGACTCTGGATCTTCCCTTCCCATCCTGCGAGGCGCACTCCTAGACCATTTTCCAGCAAGACTTGCTCTGCCGCCGCAGACAAGGCACTGCAGAAGACTGGGATGTGCGGTAGTGACTCGTTCCCGGGCGTAGGGCATATAGGGCTTACAATAGAGCCCTATAGAAACCCCGCTTCAGCCAGAGATGAAAGTCTGGGGTTTCACATTCAATTCGTGCAGCACTCGCTTTCCGCTTATGAGTGCACTTGGCCGGATGGGTCTGCATGCATGTTGGACGATGATCTGGCTGCAACAATTCCCCTCCCAGCCCGTTTAGGGCTTGTGTGGTGCATAGTACCCTGAACCCTAAGCACAACTCCTTCAATGATTACATGGCTTAAGGCCTTCAAGTCATTCAGGGACCCCACAATACGAAACCCCATTGTGGCCATTTAACCTGAGATGCCGGCTAGCGGATTGAGGGGAATGGGGGTGGCGTGGTCATGGTTGAGCATAGGATTTACGGAGATGAGCCGGAAAGCCACATGTAACCTGTATGGAAGCTTTCACTTAAGAGAAACCGTGAGAAGCCTGAGATTTTCGTCTGCGCCAATTAGGCCAACATTGCGTAGCTAAGGGAGTGCGACCAGCTCTGCACACGTCAATTTTCAGAAATGAGGATGGGTGCCTAAACCCTGTAAAAAGTAAGCCCTGGCTTCTAGTCCACCCCAAAGCGTTTCTTGTCATACAAGAGCTTGGGTTTAGGGTTAGGAGATAGGACAGTAGGCGTAGGATGTTTTAGGGTTTGCCCTCAAGATTTAGCAGCGCTGTCCCGTCGTAATCCCCGTGCGATTAGAATGCAAACTCCCCCAAATACTCGTTCTCATGAACATCGGCCCCGGTGTCATACCTCCTACTTCCCTAATGTCATTTAAAAGTAGAGAAGCAGTGTCAGGTTCTGGTGAACCCTAAACCCTAAACCCTAAACCCTAAACCCTAAACCCTAAACCCTAAACCCTAAACCCTCACCCCTTTCATCCTCAGGGTTTGGGGTTCAGGCTCTAGGGTCTTAGGGTTTTGGGGGGTTTCAGGGATTTATAGGCATCTAGGGGTTTTTGTGAGAATTCTAGGGGTTTCAGGGGTTTTAGGGGCTTTAGGGGTTTTAGGGGTTTTAGGGTTTCAGCACAAAATATCTCTGGGCTGAAGGCTTTTTGAAATGCGCCTCGTGAGCAGTCTTGCTGGCCGCCTCCCTCTTCGAAGGGTGGGACCTCAGATGTACAGTCTCGGGGGGCGTGATGGCCGGATGTAGGGATTTTTTTGGGCTTTTGCACTCTGATAAGGTGGTTGGGGTTTTTGAAGTTAGGGTTTAGGGCCTTCGGGCCTTCGGGTTGTAAGCCTTTAGTGGGATCTGTTGAGCCAGAGGTTGGTTTCCTAAAGTCTTGGGTGCTTAGGTACCCTACAAGGGCCATGTGGTCATATCAAGGAACCTTTTGGGATTACTCTCATAAGGCGGCCCTTACTCTACTTAGGGTACCCAAAAAGGGGCCACAATTTTCCGAGCTGACCCTATAAGGCTCGGGGATTAGGATGTAGGGCCTGGGGACTTGGGGTCGCATGTCTGGCGAGAGACCCTCAAGAAGGGGGCCCCACAAAATAGAAAAGAATCGGCCCCTGAATGGATCCCTCCGCCGCGCCTAAAGCCCTTCATCCGAAAATCCTAAAGCCCCCACCCTAAACCCCTAAACCCTAAACCCTAAACCCCAAACCCTTCACCCCTAAACCCTAAACCCTAAACCCTAAACCCTAAACCCTAAACCCTAAACCCATCCTAAACCCTAAACCCTAAACCCTAAACCCTAAACCCTAAACCCTAAACCCTAAACCCTAAACAAACCTTCAACCAGGGCTTCGTAGAAGGACCGGGGCCCTCAAGGAGGCCCAGGCCTGGCATTTTAGGATGCATTTCGGCTTTGGGGCTAAGAGTCTGCAGGGTTTAGGGTTTCGGGTGGAGGGTTTGGGGTTTAGGGTTTCGGGTTTTAGGGTTTGGGGTCTGGGGTTTGGGGTTTCCCACTTATACTAACAGCCCTTCATGGAATATCATAGGGGGTACTGTAATCCCTATGAAGGACTGTTAGTTTAAGGGCCAGCATCTCATGTTTAGGGTCTTGTAGAGTTTGGTAAGTTCGGGTTTCCCTCTTTAAGATGAAACCTGTTCAGGGTTGGGACATGCTGTTCCGCACCGCTGTGGCCGTGCCACTCGGGAATCGCGTTTGAAGGCCGGGGACTTCTTGTGACAGCCGACTGGGATGCCCAGTTGTATACCCTCATTTCGTTTCGCTACGGTCAGATTACTGCACATATCCCATTCAACAACAAAAAGTGG